AGTCATGGTGTTGTAGGACTGTGAACTGAATTATGTCTTATTTATGTCAAAATAAATTGGCTCTTGGAAAAACTCAAGTGATGGCAAAAGAAATTAATTAATTATAAATATAGAAAAGTCAGTCGCAAAAAGTAGCTACAAATTAGCTAGATGTTGTGCAGAGGGGGCGGGTCTATATGATCAAACAGAGATTTAAGTTGCAGCCTATTAAAAATACCTTATGCGGCTGCAGGATGCTCATTCTTCCTACTTGTATAATTACAAATTGTACTGCAAGCACATTGTACTGCTTGGTATTTTTAGAGGTGAAGAAACATCCCGTGGAGTGTCTCCCCAAACGGTTTCCTCATTACACACTTGCACAGCTCGGTGCTTACTTGTGCTCTTTTTTTCTTGCTGATCCAAACAGCAGCTCGTCACTCTTCTCTGACTGATTGTCTCCCTCTTCTGTCCTGTCCTGTCCTGTCCTTCCAGCGGCCCTGGGCATCCTCCTGACCAGCGGCTGTGCCACATCCAGACACTGCCAGCAACAAGAGCTGCCAGGAGTGCGTATCCACTGCTGTGACTCAGACCTGTGTAACAACGCCCCCTCATGGCGTCCACGAACAATCCACTGTGTCTGTGCTTTGTTCAGCCTCTTGCTGCTGAGGATGTGGCTGTGATACATTCCTGGTGGAGAGCAACATAAAGGGCATTGAACTACAGACGGAACACTTTGAACGAGGAAACTCTCTTTAGCTGTACATACTTAGGCCTGAATGAGGGTTTTACACTGAGGAGCATCATTACAATGTAGCTTTTGTCATGTAAACTTGGACTTAAAGTCTAAGAAATGGCAAAAAAAAAATCATATTTTTTATTAAAATAACGACAAAAAACAGCTTGGATTAACTGGATTAACAGCCACTTACTCAAATGTAGCATAAAGTGTAAGGGATAATGTGATATTGTCACTGGAGTCATCTGTTAGTCCATACACATACAAAACACTGGGTTTTCATTAACGAAGGTATGAATACATTTTCCTCATTAAGACCAAAAACTACTTGTCTGTAAAAATGATTTATTGTGTACTTGGAGCTGATGCCTGTTTGTTTAAATGAGTTTAATTTTAACTAAGAAAAGAGTGGGGGTGGGGTTGTTTTTGCTCAATGAAAGATATTTTTCAGTTCTTCAGGCTAAGCATTGAAAAGTGCACAGCATGTGGTTTCATGTATGATGATAATACAAACTGTACAGTGAATGCATGTAATGTTGTTAAAATATTAAAAATTTTCATATTTTTGGAAATGGGGATTATTTGAATTCTGTCATTTCTACTTCATATATTTTTCCACTGTCCACATGCCGCACAGGAAAAACAACTTTTGTTTTATTTGAGTTGCTCTGAGCATTTGAAGCTAATTCAAGGATTATAATATAACAGTACAAAGACATTATAAAAGGACACTCATGCTTCACTTTGGCCAATACAGACACAGAAGAAAATTAGTAGCACCTTTCTTTTTATACTAAACTTAAAAAATACCAACAAGTATTATTAGCAGTTTGGAGCAATTACACAAAATAACTTGGGCTAAAAACAATGGGTTATCTTAGCACATATATTAACCATAGCTAACAGCTATAGCTAAGTCAACAGTTCTAAGAGTTGGTTATAGAAAAAGCACCCAAATTGAATAACTAAAATATGTCTATCAAGTGTTTTCAAAAGGATATGCTTTGTTATTTTCAAAAATAAAGAATTATTTTCTGTTTATCTGAGAACGCTTTTGACTTCCCTGGTAAGAAATTGGCTTAGCGTCACGGCTGTCATTTGAGAAAGGACAAAAGTGCAAAACACAATTTGGTTCAGACGTCAGAAAAAATCCTTAATGCTTTTGAACCAAGAACACAAGTTATTTAAGTACAGAAAAATAGAAATCAACAAAACATACTTTTATCTCGTAAAGACAGTGCCTCGGGTGAAAAAAAGAAAGAAATGTTCGTTCGTCAAAAAAAAAAATTAAAGAGCAGATTTTAGATTACCATTTAATTACGGTAAAAGGAAATACCAAGGGTTTTTAAAATAATGTTTTCGTTTTTATTGTGTTGAACTCCACCTGTACAGGTGAGCCTGCGTTCACCGTTCAGTGCACTCACCGCAAACGATGCTCTTTGTCCCACAAGTCCATTGTAGGCAGTGGAGGAAACCCTGTGCGGCGGGCGGCCATCTTGGATACACAGACAGATCATACTTGAGCCAGGATAACCTGCAGCCCTGCACTGAGCAGCCCAACAACGCACAGCTCAAACTATTCTATTCCTGGTAAGGACAAAACAAGAACAATAATCGCACACACCCGTTTAGGAATACCGTGTCTGTTTACCACAGAGAGGCTTGTATTTAAGGCCCAAAACAGAAGGAGCAGCTAGAGTCAACCTATGTTTGTCAAGAGACGGCTAATTGGAAAGCTAACTAATGCTATAGGGATGTCATATGTTTGTTTTTGGGAATAATAAATATTAGTTAATAAATTGGTATCCATTGCTGTTGCAGATCTTATATGACCTGTTCTGTGATACAGAGACTTGAGTTGACAATCTTTAGAAGTAGCGATCTTCTATATTTTAAACGTCAGCGTTAGCTGCAAACTAGCACAGTAAAGCTAGCTGTATCCGCTTAAAGCAACTTTTAAGACTAAAACTTGTTTTTCGTCGTAGTTATTATAACTTGGGGGCTCAAAAGGATTTGTGCCTGTGACAGAACACGTCGAGATTTTTGTAATAAAGGGATTTGTGCCTGTGACAGAACACGTCGTGATTTTTGTAATAAAGTGTTGTTGTTTTTTTATCTAGATGCGTTTACTTGTGCCAGATAGCAAGTAGCCTGCTAGCGCAAATTCACCTGTCAGTGTAGCAAACATAGGGCCGTAAATAGATAAGGTTATTTTAATAGACTGTGGAGTTAATTACACGTCAATTGGGGGGTTCTTCAGTTAATGGTTTACTTTTACAGTCATTTGTGTGGTAACTAACCGGATGGCATATATCTCACCGATGCTGTTGGTTTGAAGGATAAGATGTGCGAGGCACCGTCAGGGTGTAAACGAGATATTCTGGGTCAAATTAATTAAAATTTAAATAAGTTGTTAATACATTTCCGGTTACCATCGCAATTGCAATGTGTTCCACACCTCAATAGGCGTTTCTAATAGAAACGTGTCAATATTTCGATCGTTTGTTTTGCAATGCTGCGCCCTTCTTCTGAAGCTTATTTATTAGCTTTTAGTGTGTTAGCCTTGCAGTTGACTTTTCGTTTTAATAGCACCCTGTCTGTATAATAAAAAATGAGAAATGAGCTAGACCACGACTGTCGCAAAGTGTCGGACATCAACTGAACCCTTTTACTACCCAAAATGCTGCATCATTCTGTTTATTGTGCATCTGCCATGTTCGAGTCAAAGCTTCAGTATGTTACACTCTTACGTCGATATTCCTAATTAGTCATTATTGATTTTTATATATACAAATACTAATGCCTCCAAAAACGGGAAGAATTAAGTCGCAGTGTTGTCTGTAGGTTTAGACAGGAGTCACATGACCTCAGTGTGGGCCTAAACATCTGGGTGTCTCCATGACTAAATGTATGTCGTGATATCCTGACTCAGAAAAGTCGTGTATTGTTCCTTTTAAAGGAAGTGACAGTGGATAAGATAAGACGTCCTCCTGACGGGGAGTCTGGCGTTAAAGTTACGCAGTTAGAGTAAGAGGAAAGTGCTGAGGTTGCAGTCTGATCACATGATCCTGACTGCTCTTACCTTTGATTGATACTCATAGGGCTCATTTCTGCATAATGAGCACAAAAAAGGCTTGAGTATCGCAGCTGAGTCACATTTTGTGGCCGGATCTGGATATTCTCAGCTTCCTTCCAGCGAACTAGAAACTGTCACATGGGGGATCATGATGCCACATGAGGGTCATGTGACGAGAGGCAGGCCAGAAGGAAAGTTCTGTCCTCATAATGTTAGTTTGTGGATCATGAATTAATGGCATAGTGTTAGCGATTTTTTTTGTTTGTTTTACTGTCAAACTTGTCAAAACTCTGCACATGCCTTGGGGGTTGAGAGGACACATTTAACCCAGTTGGGTTATTGTCATTAGCAAGTTGTATTGGAGAAAAAAAGAAAAAAGAAAACAGAGTTTAGAAAGGTTCAATTATAATAGTGAATCCTTGTCGTCACTACAAGGTCTGAAGTGTATTCAAGCTTAAATTGAAACCATGTCAAACATTTGAATTTAGTTAAATACTATTTTCCTTTTTTCTCAATATTCTTTTGCTTCTGCTCTAACATTTACTTTTTTTTTTTTTTTAGTTTTACCTCCATTGCCCATTTTTTATTCACCCCGTCATCATTTCTTTCTCTCTCTGCTGGTTGCATCAAATGCGATTACTGATCATCAGACGGTCACGGCATTTGTGCTAACTGTGGATGTGGAACTGTGATTCCTGTTTCTAGAAATTGCCCCAACCACAACAAAATTTTCATAAAAGGTACAATTCAAAGAAAAAGACAATCTCAAGGCAGATGGTGGAAACATCAGGTCTTTCAGTTCTACAAAATAGACTCGATGAAGCAATAATTTACACAAGTAGTTCGACAAAACATTTGTTTAAATGCCTTCATTATACTAAATACATTCAAAAGCACTGGCACTGTAATTTAAATTGTATTTAAAGTAATTTAATTTAAAGTAATTTAAAGTTTAAAACCCATTTTGAATGAATGCTTGGCAGGCCTGTCGGTTATTTTCTGTTGAGCTGTAAGTGGAGCGTTTGTCAAAAAGCATCGGTTGATATTGGATAGGTGTCGGAGCTATTTTTAGCTACGATGCTGGACATGTTCTTGTGTAAATGAAAGTGCCACATGACGACACATCACGGTTATCAGGTTAACCTCCATCACTGTAACAATAGAAACTGACATATAATCCACGCGGCGTTTAAGTGTATTGTTGTCGCCTTCTGACTACCTTGGAGCTGTTTTTTTTTTCTTTAAATAAACAGTCGACATGCCTCGTGACAATAAGAAGAGCTGTTGGCTTCCCACGAGTCTCTCGAGAGAGGACTGACTTGTTGCATGCACATTACACAAGAGGTATTTAATACCTTATTACTTAAAAAGTAGGATATTAATAAGTTGCTTATATTAAGTTAAAACAGCAGCACTCAAATTGGCAGCTGTTTCTGGGATATGAAACATTTCCTCATTCACCGTCTTTCCCAAAATAGCAAATATATCTGCGATCTGTTGATGTTTAGCCTAGTTTGAAGACACAAACATAAATATAAAAAGTGCAAGAGTGTAAGAGTCAGGGACAGTGGATCTGGTATGAAGATGAACTGACATTTTAAGATATAAATTGGAGTTGCAGAAGGTGATGGTGTATAATTATTAGGGTCATCCAATGATTAGTAGTGTAGCTGTGTGTTAGCTACGAATTATCATAAATAATCAAGATTGATCATGATTAATCAAGACGCATAAAAATTCCCAAATATGATAAACAACTAATCAATTCATATAAAAAATGGCATCTTTGGGTTAGAAATAGTCCGTCAACTGGTGAAGGATAAAGACGTCTTGTAATTAAAAACATTAATATTTAATTTTATTCTTTTTCTTTTTTTCTTTTAGAGCCAAAATGGCCACTGCACCGTACAACTACTCCTACATTTTCAAGTACATCATTATTGGTAAGTATCAGAATGTTTCTTTCATCAACCAGTTATGCTAATAGTAGCTTTAGTAAGAAATGTTTAAACAAAATGTCCCTTCATGTTTAGGTTAATGTATCACATTTACTGTTATGTTATGGACGTTACCTCCATTCACAGACCACAAGGTATTTAAGATGACTGCATCGCTGGAGGCTATTAATTATCCTCTCTGGTCAAACCCAGCCTCAGGGTTTAAGAGTCTGTAAGAGCAGCAGCAGATAAAGTGTTTTTTGTTTTGTTTTTTTATTGATGCAGTAGAAGACACACACGCTTTAATCCAAACTCTCGACCCCAAGTTGCTCATCATAACTCAGCTGGCTCACACTGGTCCCAGGCCATTTTAACTGTGGAATAAGCATCAGAAAAGGAGATCTAGTGAAAGATTTTAGCTACAACAAAGGCCCCGGAGCACAGAGCACACGGAAACGGATGAGTTCAGATAAAGATCTATGCTCTTTAAATGATTAAAACGACAAACAATCAGCTAAAACCACAACCACGAAGAGTGCAGGAAAATATTTATCATTGGCACCAGAACCGTGTGCTGTCATATAGTTGATGTGTTTACCATGGTGGTGGTTTAGTCTAATTAATTAATTAATTGCAATTAATCACACTTAAAAAGCAAAAGCAAAGGTTTTTAATTCAATGTATTTTGATTTAATCAATAAATGCAAGTATGTTTGCTAAATAATTAGCCATACTTTTTGTCAATACAAAGCTGGTAGCTGTAGCTAACGTTAGCTAGTGGTGTCTGTGCTCATGGCAGTATGTTATATACATTGCGAAGATACAGTAGCAATGGCTTAAGTGCTTCCTGTCATTGAAATTTGTTGACAGAGATACAGTACGTTTAATTAAATATTTTTAATGTCTTAGTTCATCTGGGGTCTCAAACTCTTTCCAGCCACTGAAACCTCCACATCCAGCCTCAAAAATACATTTTCTAAAGTTGCACATTGACAAGTGTTGTGACCCTCCAGTATATTGAGTTTCTGGCCCCTGCTCTAGAACAGTGTTACACAGTGGACTTTCAGGTTCTCTGGTGTCGTCTCCAACTGTCAGAGCGTTGTTGCTACGTCGTACACAGAGGGGGCGACAGTCGAGGACAGACTAGAGAATTGTTCTGGTTTCCTTAGACGACCTGACGTGTCTCTGCTCTTCTTCTCTTTCCACAGGGGACATGGGAGTAGGGAAGTCGTGTTTGCTTCACCAGTTCACAGAAAAGAAATGTAAGTGCTGATCTGGATTTATGTTACTGTGTGTGCGTGGCCAGGTTCAACTGGTGTGTGTGTGTGTGTGTGTGTGTGTGTGTGAATCAGTTTAGATTTCTCCCGGTGCCAGCGGAAGTGCTGGGCTGAGGAGCAGAGCGGTGAGACTCGTCTTCTGTGAGTGAGTCAGCTGCAGCCTCCCATTAGCGCTCAGCTCTCTCTTTGTTTAGCGCTGCGATTAACACGCCAGATGCCGCGCTCCTCATTCACTCCTTCCCTCATCACATCCTGCGTACGCACACTGGGCCGATTTAGTAAAGGTTGTCTCCGCTCTCTGGGTGTTGATGCTTTCAATGTGCTGCGAGGATAAAAGGCGGAGTTAATAATTGATGTGTGTGCTTCTTACTTACAGCTGAGATGACGAAGCGTTATCCTGTAGATACTAAGTCCATCCAACAAAGGCCGTGTGCCAACACTGTTATATCTCAAGCTAGAGGTTCTTTAAAGTGCTGTGAAAGAACCTGTGGCACCAACACCAACATTTAGGAATTGAGACTCTTTTTTGTTTTTTGTTTTTTTTTTCTTCAACGTAGCACTCTAGATTTACTATGAAATTGCAGGAACAGCCATTCTTCCAACTTTACCAACATACCTGTCCTGTACGCTAATGCAAAACCACTACACTGTGTTTCTCTCCGCTCTCCTGCCTCAGTCATGGCCGACTGCCCTCACACCATCGGCGTGGAGTTCGGTACGAGAATCATCGAGGTGAGCGGTCAGAAGATCAAGCTGCAGATTTGGGACACGGCGGGACAGGAGCGCTTCAGGGCCGTGACCCGCTCCTATTACCGCGGAGCCGCAGGAGCGCTCATGGTCTACGACATCACCAGGTATGTTAACGTGTTTGTTTTGTGTTAATGTGTCAAAGAATTCCACAGAGTTGGTGAGGCTCGGAGATGAAGTCGAACTGAAGCAGAAGCTTCTAGAAAACGGCGCTCCAGTCCCAACTCCTGAACAAACACGGGGACAGTTTTACAGCCGGTGTCCAACCGTTAAGTCCAAGCTGTGAGATGGTATCAGTAGGCTGCCAGATAAACACCATCCCACATGAGGAATGTGTGCCACACTACACCCCCGGTGTCCCCAGAGTCCCAGAGCCAGGGTGAAACCACAGGGTGTTGTCCGTTGGTAGCCTTTATCTGGGCTGCTTACTGTAGGTCATGTCGGGGTAGTTGATGTAGAACAACAAAACCAAAACATGTTTGCTCTCACTAGAGTACCACCAGTGGTACACGCCTCACAGTTTTAGGATCACTATCTCAAAAGTAAATAAAATCTCTGTATACGTTCCTTGTCAGACTTAACATTTAAACAAACACGTATTAAAGCAGTGGTTCCCCCCTTTTTTTTTTTTTTTAACTAATGGCGAATTGACTTTAGAAAACTCCCACAATGCACCACTATGCAAGAATGTCACAAAATTGGTTTGAAATTAAATATAATGATCCTCTGGTTTCAGTTTGTTTCTTCAGTATTAAACCTGGGCCTGTTTATTTGAACACAACGATGATGAACCCACAGGAATTGATGAAAGACACAAACATCTTCTGCTCTGACTCTTTTTTTTTTATAGCCATCTGCTGCCACCTATTGGTATGAGTATGTAACTAGTACACCTGTAGTTCCATATTATTGGTGGAGGTTCACCGTGTTAAAGAATGTCTATCTTTTTACTCGTTTACACGACTGTTCCGCGGCTCCAGACTCTTTACAGCTCGGTCCTTGAAGATGACACGCTGTAGTCTCCACCTGTTGTCATGGTAACCTGAGTCGCTCTGTTCATGTCACACAGGAGAAGCACGTACAACCACCTGAGCAGCTGGCTGACCGACGCCCGAAACCTCACCAACCCCAACACTGTAAGAACCGAGCCGTTGTTTTTCCCTGTGTTTGAGCGTCAGCTCCTCCGTGACTGGTTGAAACCACACGGCCCGGTCTCTCTCTCTCTCTCTCTCTCTCTGTGTTTAATTTGATTTCTAGTTGAACGTGATTAGCATTCAGTCTTAATGCTCTCATTATGGGCTCTGCTCACTGCAGTGTCAGGGAAGTGAGTGTCCATCTGCTGCTGGGTAAAAGGATCATTTTTATTTTATTATTCAATTTTATAACATGTAGGACATGGACGTACAGTAGCTGCCGGATCTTATGTTTTTGTATTTTCAAAGAAGCATTTTGGTTCTTTTTTTGACAGAACATAAATTCAGAACATACAACTTCCGTTCTTTTTTAAATGAGTTGAATGAAAGACGTCTTCAAAAGCTTCACTTTTGAAATGTAATAGTTACATACATGTATTTTATTATGATACAACCAATGCTTCATTAATAGAAATAAAATTATTCCTAACCCACCAGGTGGCAGTGTTGCCCAATCAGTGTGAACCCCCTTATCAGCATATTAATATTATATATTCTCCAGGATAAAACACTAAGATCTGAATGCAGTTCACGGCTGATTGTACACATCAGTACTGTGTATATTAAGCAGTATTTTTATTTTTGTACACATCATGTTTTCATGTCTTTTTAACCGTTGATCTAAAACTCTTTCCGTGTCGTTAAGGTTATTTTTTAACCCCGTGGGTGTGTGTGTGTGTGTGTGTGTGGAGTCGGTCACATGACTCAAACAAACAGCTCATTACATCAAACCAGTTCATCACTGCTCTAATTGGCTCAGGGCAGTTTGTTTAAGTGTCAGTTTACCTTAACAACTGACGGAGGGACTGCACCCATAATGCCTCTGGCTCTCCTCCTCGTTAGTAAACAAGACGGGCTCTGCTGTCGGACAGCTCCACTGACCGGTGTCTCTGTCCTCAGGTGATCATCCTCATAGGGAACAAAGCAGACCTGGAGGCTCAGAGGGACGTCACGTACGAGGAGGCCAAGCAGTTCGCTGAGGAGAACGGTGAGCCGCTCCCGCCGTGGAACGCGTTGACTCATCTTCAGGCACTCGAACGTGTTTTGCAACAGCCCCGTCCCCACGCTCTCGTCTCTCCAGTTTGAACAAAACAATCACCAAGTCCAGGAATCCCAACGTGTCCAAATATTTAGACCCAAAATGAGATTTGAGGCCAGCGTTCATGTGAAAGTTTAGACAAAGTCTTTGTGTTTGATTCCAACTGACACGAGTCAGGATTTAGAGAGAGAGAGAGAGAGAGAGAGATACTGACCAGTGACCAGGACTTTATCGAAATAACTAACATCCTAAAGCAGGCGTGGGCAAACCTTTGACCCGTGGGCCACAATAGGTCCTAAAATTTGACATGGGGGCGGGGTCAGGAGCAGATAGATGGCAAGTCAAACTAAAAACTTTTTAGCTCACTATACACCATCTATTGGGGAAATGCAGATATTGCAGGGAAAAGGCAGAAGTATAATGATAATATAAAATAATAACATAATTTGGACAAGTTCAGTGGGCCGGATGAAAAAGCCAAATGGGCCGCATCCGGCCCCCGGGCCATAGTTTACCCATGTCCAGTCTATCATTTTAACACGTCCTGGTGTTTTAAACCCCAGGGTTTAGCACTAATCTCTCAGCTTTCTCTGCTGAAGTCGGCTTTGTTTTGGTGTCAGCGAAGCGTGTTACTCATCGATGTCTGTGGAATAACAAAAAATGATTGAACTGTGAAAGGATCGTGTTTTCAACCGGAATGTGTGGACAGTCATGATGTCACGTTTAGAGGAAGAGCGCAGGCCTAACAGCAGCGTCACACCGTTTACAAAACCGACTTCGACAAATGTTTATGAATTTTTCCCTCCGACTTTTTCGGATAAATTAGTTCAAATTTGAAAACAGTCATTCTCACATCACTTCATGGTAAATATAGTGTTTTCTCTTGATAGTTATGTATGATGTCCCATGATTAGTCCGTGACCTTTATTTTGATCTCCGACAGGTCTGTTGTTCCTTGAAGCCAGTGCAAAAACGTAAGTCATCAACTCCGTCTGTCAGCGATTCCATTTCCTTTTTCCTTCCTCCGCCGCCGCCTCTCACCTTTCTGTGCTCCCCGTCTGTGTCCAGAGGTGAAAACGTGGAGGACGCCTTCCTGGAAGCTGCCAAGAAGATCTACCAGAACATCCAGGACGGCAGCCTGGACCTGAACGCCGCCGAGTCGGGGGTCCAGCACAAGCCCTCGGCCCCTCAGGGCGGCCGGCTAACCAACGAACCACAGCCCCAGAGGGAAGGCTGCGGCTGCTAATGACCAAGCAAAGCCTTCCCTCCCTCCTCCACCCCCACCCCCACAACATCAACCTCACCTCCTGTGTCTTTCTCTGTCTGTCCTGCCTGCCTCACCCCCGTCTCACCCATCCATCCATCCATCCACCCACTTCACCTCTGTGCGATCATCCACCATCACTGCACCAGGAGCTGCATGGGAATTGAACCGGGGGTTTGATGATGACTCGAGTCAGACTGAGCTGAGCTGTGTGGACGACATCTCCTCTCCTCATTCTCCTCTTCTCCTCCCAATGTGTCACCCCCCTCCCTCCCCCCACTCCAGGCACCACTGCATATAACACAGGTTACTGACACTTTAGACGTTCGATCACGATGTACCGATGATACACGACTGTTTTTTTTTATGTTTGGTTTTTATAGCTGTTTAAGACGTGAAAGCACTGCGACAAAGTTGATTTACGTCCATGTCAGGTCTAGAACTGGTGCCTCCTCCTCCTCCTCCTCCTCTTCCTCCCTCTGATAATACTGTTCGATCCTAAGGTCCACCAGTAGCTCCCAGAGAAGGTGAGGCTTCTGTGGCCGTTCCCCGGCCAGATGTGGCAACAGCAACGATGTTCTCGATAGAAAAAGGAGAGAGAAGTGGTTTCTCCGTCTCTCTGTCTCTCGAGACGTCAGCAGGAGTAGCAGATCTCCGTGTGTGTTTGAGAAGAGAACTTCTTCACACACACACACACTAGATTTTTCACATCTATTACTTCGACACCACCTCCCCTCCTCCTCACCCGTCTCAGTCATTTCAACAACAGTCTGTCTCTACCAGCACTGTCTTCGTCATTGTTTGTTGCCTTATTCTTATGATTCTCTCTAATCTCTCCAACAGTTCTACTGCACTTTTTTTTCCTACAGGGTTCACATCTCAACTATTCTGATGTTTAAAAAAAAAATATATCAAAAAACAACTCCACGTATTTCACATGTGGCTGCACAGAAGAGATAATGTTCACCAAGCAGCATGTCCCCAAAACTCCTCAGTAACGGAAACACAGTATAGTCCTTTCTTTTTTTTTTTACTATTATTATTATTATTCTCTGTATCATAGCACCTCCCTGATTGGACAGCTGTATATATTGCTTCTTAACTATCGGTGATGACCTCGCTACTTCGGGATTTAAAACTTTATTTGCCGGCTCTGCCAAGATCTGTACAGTTGACGTGCTTTAGTGGGTTGCCTGTAATTCATGCTTGGGGGAAAAAGAAAAAAATCTGTAACATAGTTTCTATTAATAAATGTAATGTAAAAGGACAGATGCCTGAAACATCCAGCCCTGTCTGCACACTACTGACCCCGCCCCCTGGTGGAGAGAAGTGGATTAAGACGTGTGAACTTTTTAATTTATGTCTGCAAACTTTTCTTCCTCTCATTTCTGTGCGGAGTGAGGACGGGGCACTTTTTCTTTGTATTTTTGTTTCCTCCTCCATCTCCTAATGATGCTCCTCCTCCTCCTCTGTGTGGGAGGAGCCTGTGTCTGTCTTAACTTTTCGGGGAGCGGGGATTGGTTTGTTACTGTGGGATGTCGGTGTCCCGCCTCTTTGCAGTTCAAGTGACCACTTCCTGCTTTGTCTGTCCACAAGTACAAAAAAAAAAAAAAAAAGAAGTACATATGTATAAATTTTTAAGGAGCTGTGCTAACATTTAAATGCGTTCTTGCGTGTATATGATTTTAAAAATGTTGACATTTTGATTTTAATGATAACTCTAGACGGAAGAAAATAAATTATACATAACCTGTTGAGTCTGTACTGGTGTGTTTCTGGGAGAGGAGAAAAAAAACTAGAACTCAACGTTGGGTGTATTTCAAGTAGCACAACTGCTTTGTATTTTTATTGCAACAAAAATTGCACCAAGGCTAGAGGGAGGAACAAACAGTGAAAATAAGAACATTTACAAAAGACAAAAGTGTCCACAAAATCCGTGAGGCTTAGTCCCAAAGTAGTGGTATGGTTGGTCAGAATCACCAAAAAAAAAAAATCAAAAACAGCCAACACTTACAGTACCGTGTTGACGTGAAGGCAGCTTGTGGTCGACTTTGTGTCCTCAGGCATCGCAGTCAGACAGGGCACGTGACGAGACGTCGGCGCTAACGTCCAAAAAAAAGAAGAAGTCCAGGAGATGGCGAAAGAGAGTCAAGGAAAGATAAGAGTGGAGTTCAACTACGGTCAGCTTCTCACTCTCCCTGTAAGACAGCAAGTGACAGGTCCATGAACATTTCCAGTCCAGTGTTTCCTCCATTTTTTTTAAATTTTTCTTTTTTGCAGGGGTAGAAAAAAAAAAACGGTCTTGAACAACGTGGAGACCATGTGACACAGAACGAGAACTGCCAATGGTCGCTCACTGGCACCTGAAGTGGAACTAAAACTTTTGAACAAAAGTCACATCTATTAAAATCTACACCACCCTGGTCCTTCCTCTCCATTTCAGTCTGGAGTGTTTTTGTTTTTTTTGGTTCGGCAAACACTTAAATACAATTAGCAACAAATCACAAAGTGATCTCGGCGTTTCTGAACCAAGTCTTTAGATGCTTCAGTTCACGCAAAAAGTTGGATTTTCGAATGGACGTCGATGGATGATGTAAACCTTTTTTTCCCCCCGTTGCCCCTACTGGTCAGCAGTGGTATTACCTGCTCTTAATTTCCAAGTTAATGTTTAAATTTAACGCACATTTAATAAAACCATATTTAATTAGCAACAGCACAAGGGAATATTTTATCTGAACCTAACATGATGAGTGCGAACAAACGTTAAGCAGCACCACAAAGTGTTAGCGGCTCCTCCTGTTAGCAAACAGTGCAGTGAAGCAGAATGGCCAAAGGCTTTTCTCCCACGATGACTCTGCCTCCACCTTTTATCAGGCCACCTGGTGGCAAATACTGTAAAAAAAAAACAAAAAAACTAATACAGAACAAACACTGGTGTTTTTCAAATATCACTGACGACGCCGTACAAGGCGATGGCAAAAGGTGGCCAAACCTGGGGGGCCAAGGCCTCTGGTCAAGAACGCTGAACCCAGGTGAAAATAGAACGTGATGAGTGAAGACAAAATGGCTTGAAGGTGTGAGAAGAACAAAATGAGGTCAAGTGTTTTGTTTTTGCTCATTGTCATCAGCATGGAGGGAAAAAAAAATCACACACAAACCAACAGTAAATCAATAAGGAAAAATATCACAGGACTTTTTTTGTGTTAGTGTTAAAAAAAGAAATAAAAAAGGGGGGGAAAAACACACAACGATATAAGACATGATCATTTCAAAAATGATTGGTGAAAGATCATGTTTATCAAAAATCCTCACCCCCTCCCTCCCACTGCCCCTCCCCCACACCCCCATGACCTGAAGGCCAAGAGACACTTGTTCATTCATAGTTAAGGCTTTTCAATATTGCAAACCGCCTCTCCAAATGTCAGGAGACATTTTGACTCCGCCCACAATAACCACAGGCTTAAGAGTTTTCAGAGTGAAGTGTAGGCTGAAGCTCCGCCTCCTGCCGCCCCTCCTCCAGCAGATTCTACCCGCTGCTCTTGCAACAGAGCTCGACACGAAACACGGCTCACGCTCAAAAAAAAACAAAAAACTGGGTGGTGTGAGATATGGTAGGACATCTGCGTTGTGACAGCGGAAGCTTCTGGGACGCTACCTCTGGACAATGTCACTGATTTCTTTGACAGAGGAAAGCAGCTTGCTAAAGTCCTGCTGCGAATTGGCACCCCCAGTGGCAGTTGGGCAGATCTGCAGCTCACGCAGGCTGCTCTCCAGCTTGTTGATGGCCTCGCGGAAGGCAAATTTGTTCCTCATCTGCTGGATGGAGTCCACGTAGCTCATGCAGTACTTGGACAGGTTCTTGCCGGCCTCCAGGACGGCGCTGTGGCTGCCCGTCTGCTCCGAGTTCCGGCATATGGCCGCCCGCAGCAGCTCGGTGCCCTCCAGCACCATGTCCCGGGTCGCGGCCGAGTTGGAGGTCCGCTCGGAGGCCTGGCGGGGTGCAATCTTGCGGAGAGAGCGCCGGGTGTTGACTAGCGGGATGAAAGCGGTGAGGGAACTCTGGTCCCCGGGTGAGGCCAGAGGGGAAGAGAAGCCTCCTAAACTCTGACTGGAGAGGGATGTCGTCACCGAGGAGGAGGTTTTCAACGGTTGAGGTTTGGAGGAGGAGCCCAGGTGCGACTTCTTGGAGCCCTCGTTAAGTGGCGAGCCGGCTTGGTCACTGACAGTGGTTGTGTGGTGGGCCTCAGACACAGAGGAGAGACCCTTAGCTTTGAAGTCTGAAGTGGAGGAGGGTGAAGGGAGTTCTTGAGTGGGGCTGCGAGAGACCTTGCTAGGTTTGGAGTTGGCGGGCGGTGGAGGCGGGGCAGGTTTGGGTTTCTGTATCTTCCCTCGTTCCCTGACGGAGTCCACCGGCTCCTTTTTCCTGCGGGCTCTGCACTCGTCTCCAGCCGCTCCCAGAGCAGGGAACACGTTGGGCTTGAGAAGCTCGGCCTGCAGAGCGCTGGTTTTAGAGTTCTCCAGGCCTGGAAACCCCGGTCTCCTGTCCGCCTTGGGTGTTAAAGCCTTGGGACTCGACCCCGGGCTGTGATCACTGTCTTTTCCCATGAAGGCGGAGGAAACATCGGAGGAGTTAAGACGCGGCGGGGGCGTCAGGGTGCCCATCCGAGGAGCGCCGTCCCTTTTCTGCTCGTTGGTTTTTTTGCGCGGCAGAGCCGGCTTGCCGCCAAAGGTACCCGAGTCAAAGTGGCGCTGGCCCAGATCTCGCGGGAGCGTGACGGACCTCCACTCGCTGCCGTCTGAGCCACAGGGTACGCTGGAGGACCAGAGGAAACGTTTGGAGTTGGACATGGTCTCCTCCTCACCGGGTGGCGTTGTAGCGGCCTTGCCTCCTGGACCAGGCGCCGCAGGGACCTTCTTCCTGGGGAAAAATGGTCCCGGGTAGGTGGGAGCACCGTTTGTGATACTCGCTGCTCCGTTGTTGTTAGTACCGAGGAGTTTGGAGGAGTCGGGGCCGTGCGTGGATTCATTAATAGTCAGAGACGCGCCATTGTTAAAGCTGTCGTTGTCACGGGGCTCTAAGGTGACGCACCTCCTCTCGTGGTGCATGTCCTCCCTGAAGGAGGAGCTCCGTTTGGGCGGAGGCGGCACTTTGTTTTTCTTTATCTTGATGAGGTTGAGCAGCACACTCCCACGGGTCTTGTCCTTGTCTTTGGGTATCAAGCGGTCGTCGTCGTTCAGGTTGCCGTCCAGGGGCGTCCTCTCTTTCCTGGGTAGCATCGGCGAGGAGACAACCGCCTCTGGGTCGGTGGGATCTGAGGACAGGGATCAATGGGAGAATCAATCAATGAGTGGAACGTGTGTGACTGGAAAACAAAACCATGAACACTGATGTCAAAGAAGACTTTGTCTTTGGATGGATGGATGATGGATGGATAGATGGATGATAGATGGATGATGGATGGATGGGTGGATAGATGGATGATGGATGGGTGGATGGATGGATGATGGATGGGTGGATGGATGGATGATGGATGGGTGATGGATGGATGGATAGATGGATGATGGATGGGTGGATGGATGGATGATGGATGGATGATGGATGGGTGATGGATGGATGATGGATGGATGGATGGATAGATGGATGAATGGAGGATGGATGGATGATGGATGGATGAATGATGGATAGATGGATGGATGATGGATGCATGATGGATGGATAGATGGATGATGGATGGATGGATGGATGGATGATGGATGAATGATGGATGGATAGGAATTTTATTAATCCCTCTGGAGTCCCCTTTGAGAAATCGCAACATTTAGTCGCAATACCCACTTGTGCCACTTGGCCATGCGGTTGTCCAGTATTCAAAAACAGTGGATTTACAGGTTTTGAGACTCAGGCTCACATATGACCAATGTAATGAAACAGTTTATCTATTAGAGACGTTAAAAACAACATGGTCAGTTCGTTCCACAAACAGCTCCAGACCTGGACTGTCTCCATCCCTGTTGTCCATGTTCCTGCGGAGAGTCCTGGTCTTGGTGGGCAGCTCCGGAGCCTGCTGGATGGATCCTAACGTTGCCTTCTTTCCCTTTTTGCCCAGCTCCTTCTCCACTTCTACAAACACAGATGAACAGCTTCAAGAACACAGGTCGCCGAGCATTCTTAGGTCTTAGAACAAAAAACTTCCACCGACCGTCGGAGATGCTGGACTCCTGGAACATGGTCTCGAAAGCCTGGTGTGTTTCAGCAAACGATGGACGTTCTAAAGGGTTCCACCTCCAACCTGCCAGGAAGAGACAAATCGTCAGGAACGTCATTTCACCAATTTAATTCAACGTAACATTTTGGATAACCTTTGACATTTCATGTTATTTTTTTTTATACCTTATGTTTTTGTGCAAGGTTTTAGTGGTTTCTGCTACAATTTTTATTTTACAAAAATTGCTACTTATTAAACAATATTTGCTATATTTAAATATATATATAGATACACACACACATATACATATACACACACATATACACATATATACATATATACACATATATACATATTTATATCTACTGTGTATACATACTGTATATACATACATACATACATATATATACATACATATGTATAAATACACACACACACACATATATATATACATACACACACATATACATATATATACATACACACACACATACATATATATACACACACATATACATATATACACACACACACACACACATATACATATATATACATACACACACACATACATATATATACACACACATATACATATATATACATACACACACACATACATATATATACACACACATATACATATATACACATATATACATATTTATACCTACTGTGTATACATATATACACACATATATACATATTTATACCTACTGTGTATACATATATACATATATACATATATACATATTCTACCACAGAAAGGTAGAGGGCGATAATCTCACTACGAGGGGTGAGAACTAAAATGAACACAACGTTCTTCTCCAACATCCCAGACGCGGAGGTTTTTAGTCCGACTCACAGGCTCTCATCAGCTCGTAGACCTTCTCGGGGCAGCCCTCTGGTCGGTCCATGCGATAGTTTTTCTCCAGCAGCTCGTAGACCAGGGACAGGTCGATGCCTGGGTAAGGGGACATGCCGTAGGTGGCGATCTCCCACAGTAGGACCCCAAACGCTGTGGAGGGAAGAAAAACAACAGATAATTACTTTGTTTGAGGGTTTTTTTTTTTGTGTGTGTTTTTTTTGTTAAAAATATTAATAGTGGAAAACAGACCTGGTAGGTGGCGCTAATGCAACCAAAAAAAAAGTTATGTTGCAATTAGTGGAGTCAGTGGGGGGAATCAGAAGCTACTTTTATTACTAATTTTCAAAGTTGAATAGTAAGATACTAATAATGATAATTAAAATGTTGAAAGAAAATTTATTTTTAATTTATTTTTATTCTCTGCCTCAAAATGCATCCGGACCTACCCCAGACATCGGACTTAATGGAGAACTTGTTGTAGGCCAGACTCTCTGGTGCGGTCCACTTGATGGGGAACTTGGCTCCAGCGTGAGCTGTGTAGGTGTCTCCTGTCATTAACCTGCTCAGACCGAAGTCTGCAACCTTCACCAGGTGGTTCTCCCCCACCAGGCAGTTCCGAGCTGCCAAGTCCCTGCAGGAGAGAGAGAGGGTAAATAAATAAATGAAGAGAGGGAAGAGGAAGGAATCCTGACTCTGCACAAACAGAAACCAGTTCAGTATCTGTATCTGAGAGAGTCCAGCCGTAACCAAAGACGAGAACAAAGACGAGGAACAGGAGAGAGTCGGGACGTGGGTCAACATTGATTTTAGTTCTGTGTTTGTTTGGAGTGGAGCGGAGACACAAGCCGAGTCTTGTCAGCTTCGAACATTGAATATTCAGCATTGGCAAATATGAAAAGGACCTTGTTGAACATGCCAGAACAAACGAGCAGCTCCTCTGAGATAACACTCCTCCTGCAGAAACAGTCGGAGGCCTTACAGCAGCTCTGACTGTAACCTCCACACGGTCCATGTAAAAAAAAAAAAAGTGTCTCCAAAGTTAATAGTGAGTACTTTCCCCCCCCACACACACACACCTGTGTATGAAGTTTTTTTTCTCCAGGTACTCCATGGCGGAGGAAATCTGCGTGGCCATGTGGAGTAGCACCACGGCGTTCACCTCCTCCCTGTTGCACTCCCTCAGGTAGTCCAGCAGGTTCCCGTGGGTCATGAATTCTGTGATGATGTAGAACGGTGGCTCCCGCGTGCACACACCTGACAAATGGACGACAATTGTTAAAACAAAAACATCCTTCTTTAAGTAATTGTCTGTCGGAGGTGATGATATGAAAAGAACTGATATTCAGATGTAGAAAAAAATGTTAGAAATGTAAAAAAAAATAATTTTCAGTGGCGTGTGGAAACAATATTTTTTTTGATTTATGCTAAATGATGACATTGTAGTTTGATTAATATAAAGGTTACTATATAATATATAAATATTGTGTGCGTATATATATATATACACAAACATATACACAAATATATATATACACACATATATACATACATATATACACACATATATACATACATTTATATATAAACACATATATACATATATACACATATATACATATATATATACATATATACACATATATACATATATATATACATATATACACATATATACATATATACACATATATATACATATATATTCTGTGATGATTATTTTAGATATTGAGATATTAGCCCTTAGCAAACAATTTAATATATTTATAAAAACTATCAGATGTTTAAAGAAGTTCTTGACATGTTAACTTTGATGCAATAAAATAAAAAATAAAAATCCCAGGAAGCACAGAGGAACGTGTCCTATTACAAGACTCAACAACATTTTGAGAAACTACATTTAGGAACTTTTTTTTTTTTAAAGGGCAACTTAAACTAACTCTCATTTAATGACACGTTTAATAATGTTTTTTTTAAAACATAAATTGTGTTTTAAAGATATAACTGTTTTTGTGAACATACCTAATAACTGCACCAGGTTGGGGTGTTTGATCTCTTTCATGACAGCGGCCTCTTTCAGAAACTCTTCCACCTCCATCGTATCTTCCTACAAACAAGCAGCGGCGAGGGACTCGGTTGCAGTTACATTTGTATAACACCAGATGGCAGTATCATTTAGGCATATACAATACAAACAGACGAGACACGTTTCAACGAATGAGTAACTGTTGACTTTTGTCTTCTAACCTTTAGCGTCTTGACGGCCACAGTCAGGTTGTACTTCTTCCACACCCCCTCGTACACCTCCCCGTACTGCCCCCCTCCCAGCTTGTGTTTCATGGTAATGTCAGTGCGCTCCATCTCCCACTTGTCGTAGTTGGGCGAAACTCCGTAGATCGTGGGCTTGTTCCGCTTCGGAGCCGGGTAGTGCAGCGTGGTGATGAGGCCGTCGGCCACCGTGGAGTGGTGGTGCACCAGCTCCGCCAGTGTGTTGAAGCGACTTTCAGAGGAGACGTACAGCTAAAGGAGGAAAATAAATAAATAAATTAAAATCTAATAATATTTAGGGATGGAGATATATGGTCGATAGTTTTAGCGTTACGGTAAGCTAACGAAAAAAATACCGGAAGTGGTTGGCTTCTAAAGTCTATCCTTCTGATTATTAGTTCCTGGGAAATAAAAATGTTTCTTTCTTTTCTATCAGATCAATATGTACGAGGGTGAGACCAAAGCTGTTCAAATAAAAAAATTAATAATAATTCTTTATGAAAATATAGCTATTTCTCTCCATCATCTATGTCTGAACAAAGTCAAGGCCCGGGGGCCAAATGTGGCACGCCAATTTATTTTGTATGGTCCATGGTAGCTTTAAAAACATTTGATAAAATCCTTGAGTTTCTTAACCTGATACATTTTTTTGTTGTTGTTACACGGAGCAATGAACAATATTTGTAACTTGGTTAAATATAATAATCAACTGCAGAAACATTTATTAATTATTAATTATTAATGTTATGGAGCAGTTACATCTATACAGTCTACTGTTTACAACCGGCCCTTCTGACATCTATACAGTCTACTGTTTACAACCAGCCCTTCTGTACCTGTAATACCAATGTGCCCCCCCCCCCACGGTGAAAATGAATTTGACACCCCTGCTCTATAGGACGAGAGACCTGTCCTGACATGTCTCTCTCTCTCTAGCAATTAAAATCAGACTCTTTCCAGACGTCCTCCGTCTCAGAACAGATGTTTCTTGACTATATAACATTAGAACAATTCCATTTAGAAGGAAAACAAACATAAAGCACAACAACCACAGGAAGTGAGCGTCTGCTGAAAACTGCTGTCTCGTCGTCACACTCCTGTCAACCGTCTCTGGTCGTGATCACGGTCTTATTTTTATTCAAATCGACTGAAGTTTGTTTTTTGTTTTTTTCAAACTGACATTTCGTTTTATTGAAGCCGACGGTAAACCCTACGATCGACACCCAGGAACGGTTAGGAGTTTGTTTTGAAGTGTAACTGAGGTTATGAAGTTTGACAGCTCGGTTCGTGCGGAGCGCACATGAACTTGTGAACCGCCATTTCCAGAAAAGTACGTACGCGTCCTTTAAAAAAAAAAATGCAATAAAAAATGAAAACTGCAATTTGGAAAGGGATCTAAAAGACTTATTTGTCTGGGAGAAGGAAAAAAAAAGGGAGAGAAAGACTTTAAGAGTGTTTTTCACAACCAACTGAATTTCTTCTGGCTCTGACGACGAGTCTGTGTTCCTGCTGTTAAAGAACAGGTCACAAAAGTGAGGTTTGACGTTTGCGCTGCTCCGCGAGCAAAGTGGCTCGATGTATTACCTCCAGGCGTGTGGGGGGAAATAAAAAAGCACAACCCAGTGAGGCCTGAGTGGGTTTTAATGGAGCGCTGGCTCTGCTCCCGGATTAAAGCACGAGAAAACGGTCTTCCAAATAAACCCTGGTGGTGAGAGCGGCGGCTCCGGTGTGAAGGGCAGCTGTTTCTGAGGTGAAGTGAGGAGAAGTCCCTCATTCCAGACTCTTGAAGTGGACTTCAGTGGAAGAATTAAAAAAAAAAAAACAACAAAACAATATGTGTCTAGGAATCCAGTCTGTGTGTGTGTGTGTGTGTGTGTGTGCACTTGGCTGCATCTGTCAGTGCTACTGCGTGTCTCAGCCTGGGCGTCAGTGTGTGTGTGTGTGTGTGTGTGTCTGGCCGGGCCTCGTGTCTGCTGGGCAGTGTGAGCAGCAGAGTGCTGCATTCTTGTCATAGCTAGTGTTTCCCAGAGCGAGTTCCTCCTCACTGCATCACAGACGGCTGGGTGACCCAACCCTGGGAGCAGCGGCTCAACTGATTCAGGGTGACCCAACCCTGGGAGCAGCGGCTAGACTGATTCAGCAATATATATATATATGTGTGTGTGTGTGTGTAAAGGGGTTCCTCGTACTGTACAGCCTTCAGTAATGAACAGTATAATGACCAGAGGAGTAACATGGGGCTGAACAGAAGGGAACTACGATTAAGTTTGGTTCATCTCCATAAATACTCACATCTAAGACTGTCATCTCTCAGCGTCAAGATAGAGGTGGATTATTATTATTATTATTATTGCTATTATAACTGATTGATCTCAATCAATTTAGTCGGTTCCATAGTGTAGCGGTTAGCACGCCTGCCTCGGTTAGCAGAACGCAGAGAGTGCCGGGTTAGATTCTCAAAGAAACCATGCGCTTGGCGCCTGCTAGGGGGCGACCTGCTAACAACAGATCTGCATGATCGGTTTTGATCATGATATATCGTTGACTGATCGACTAAATCGTCATTTCTAAATATGACCAAACACTCTCTTCTGTAGATGTCTGCGTGTCTTTCACCTGGTTTTTACTTGTGTCTAATCAAATTATTTTTTATTATTAATTATGAATACAGAAACATTTCAAGAAAAAAAAAGAAAATATATAAGAGATAATACAGAAACATTTCAAGAAAAAAAAATATATAGCAGAACTATAACTATAAAGTTGTAGCTTCATGGAGTTGGCTGACTTTGGTCATAACTGTGCTTCATGACGTTGGCGTGCAAATCGCGCGAGAGTTCTCGTCTGCGTTCTCGACAATATAAATCAGTCTACAGTTCCTCACCATCCATCCAACCGTTGGTTCAGTCGGTTGGGCCTGAGATGGTATTTGAAATGACATGTACAGTAGGAGGCACGAACGTTGGAATTATTTTTGACTACATCTCTCATCATTCTGCACTTTTTAAAATGTTTTACCTGATTAATTTCACAAATATCAATCTCGCCCGCCCTGCTAAAAAAAAATAAAAAATTCACACCATACCTTGCCGTCAGACGCAGTGTTAATCCTGTAATGGTAGACTCGGCCCTCGTATCGCAGAGATATTGACCTCTGACCCGGGCTGCTCTCGCTCTCGCGGACCAGGAAGCTCCCGTTGATGCCGGAGCTGAGCAGGTACTCGGCAGCGTTGCGTGACACGGGGCCGTGGTACCAGCTGTGCTTCTCCAGGCTGTTGACCGGGGTGATGTAGTTGGACGGTACCCAGCCCTGGCCATTCTTGGTCTGCGCCTCGCACCACTCACCGTTGTGGTTGTAACCCAGCACGCGCAGCTTCTCACCTGGTCAGAGATGTAAAAGAAAAAAAAAATTGAAATCAACCAAAATATCCAAGTCATGTTGGGGTTCAATTCCTGTAATATTGACTTTGAAAAGAATATTCTCCACAGCTGTGACCGACGTAAATCTTTTATATTCTTTGAATCGATTAACACGTTAGAAAAACATGGTTCAAAGGCCGGACCCGGGAGTCAAATATGCAGGAATCCTGAGTCTCCAGTGTCTGTCCTTCCAGCAGAGACTGAAGAGGTCTTTTTTTGTTTGTTTGTTTGTTTCAGCGCTAATTTAGTTTCCTCAAGTCAGGAAATACATTTCTTCCTGCTGCATTTGATTTGAAAAGGAATATATGTTTAACAATAAAAACATTTGGTTTTATAGTCCACCGTAAAAAAATAACATCTATTTAAAATTCAAAACAGTGCAATGACCGGACCATAGAATGAGGTAATATGGATTCAGTCCAGATTTTCCTGTTTATTCCGGAGCCTCAGTTCTGTCCTTCCTTCCTTTGTTTGTCAGTGAGATCCATCTGTGGTATTGTTCATTCAGGGGGGAAAAAAAAAAGAAGAAAAAAAAAAACAACGACTGGGACGGAAGAGGAAAATAAAGACGTGGAGAGAAGGAGACAGACGGCAAATAAACAGATGCTCAGTAAAACAAACTCTCTCTGGGGGAACTTATTTACACCTCAATGTGAATCAGGAACACTGTTAACAGCTCTCTCTGAGTTGTACCAAAGTAAAACAATAACCAGAAAGATATATAAAAAAAATTTAAAAAAAAAACAAATCAACCATGAACCCACGTGGACCTCACACCTTTTGGTCGACTAAATCTTTAGATAAATTTGATATTATTACCAACAGCGCAGTCTGATTTCTCATTCTCAAAGGTAAGTCAAAACGTTTCAGGAAAAATTGTGGCATCAAAGAGTTCAAATTATTTTTACTCTATTTATATAAAAATCTCTAATTAAGTCTAGACACTGTTGTAGTTCATGCGTCAATCAGGAAATTCCTTCTCTGTAGAATCTAGTAGGATTTATTTTTGAGGGTTTATGAAAACTGACCAAATAAAACATCAACACTTCTTTACTTCTCCAAAAACAAAAAAACGTTTGTTTTTTTTCCTCTCACCTTTGGTGATGCTGAGTGTGTTGTCACCGCTGGCCACGAAGTCGTACAGTGCCACGAACAGGTTGTTGTCATTCTCGCTGGGTCCAGCTAACAGGTTCTCTTTGGAATTCCAGCGGGCCGCTTCGGTCAGACCCTGACCCTCAAGGTCTGGTCTCTGAAGAGCTTCTGAGGAGAAGATTTAAAAAAAAGACAGGATCACAACGTGAACATGTGCACGAGACAAAAAACACAAGTGGAAACGTGAGGACGACACATTTGAGAACACAGGCCAAGACAGAGGTGTTCAGGTTTATTTCCCATGATGCATCACTCATGCAGCTACATCAATGCTCAGCCTGTGGCCTGTGACATTAATACATTTTGTTGGATGACAAATTGTCCCACAAGTTATTGTCAATAAACAAAATATTGTCAGCATAATTTTACACCCAAATTAACCAGATTTGTATTGATACATCATAATAACATGTACGCAAGTACACCCTTTAAAATGCAATAAACCTTTATTGGTTAAAAAAAAAAGACCCTTTAAAATGCAATAAACCTTTATTTTTCATGAGAATTCTTTTTTTTTTTTAACCATTCTCAAATTTCCCATGGTGCCTGAACAACCATCGTTATATTCACGCCCCGAAAAAATACATGTCTCATGATGCAGCGAACTACAATTTCTGTGAAAATGCACAATTTTACACTGTTCCATTTGTAGTAAATGGAGGAAGTGGACTAAGGAAGTGGACTTGTGTCCGGAAGGTTGCAGGTTCGAGTCTACCAGCCACCAGGTGGCGCTGAGCATGATACAGTCCCCACACACTGCTCCTCGCGCCCTGCTCGCTCACAGAGCTGCCCCCTCCTCACTAAGGTGTTGGGCTAACGCCTCTAATTCTGCTGTGCCACCATCTTATCATCCATGTACTGAAGCGTTCATGAAGTACAGATGAAGTAATGGATTTATTGATCATCGTCCCCGGCCCTAAGGAGGCCTCTCCATGTGTCATTCAAATTCTTTCTTCCCCTCTGAGGATCACATCATCAGCCGTGATCCCACCGTGGAATCAGTGCATTAAACCTCATCGTGGGATGCGTACCCACAACCCCTGGTGTCTCTTGGGAGTTCATTTCCTGGATTATCCTGCGTTAGCTTGTATCGTAGAGTGGCCACAGATCAGAGCCTGAGAACGTGCCTTAGCATGTGACCGTAAACTGTGGTTGCAAGATGAAAAAAAAAAAAAAAATCCTGTGCGTTTCAGAGCGTCTTAGCGTATACTTGTGTAAATTACACACGGCTGCAGTGGAAACATAAAAATGCCAGAAGTGAAAACAATGAGGGGAGAAAAAGGTGAAGGAGAGCGAAGTGAGGAGCGACCTTCTCACTGCCGAGTCTGGACACGTGGCCCGCACAGCTGTTGCATCGCACAAACAGAATCGTACATTTCAAAGTCCCACAGTGACCAGAAAAAGACAAATGGAAATCAGTGAAGCTCGGAGCTCGACGTCTCCGAGTCTCAAAAGCAAGTGAGCAAAACTTCAACGCTCCGACGAAGGAATAACTCAGCCTGGAACAATGGGGAGATAATTTAAAGGTCCAAAGGACAGAGTGTGATTTTTTTTTTTTTTTACTGCGAGACAGCTAAGGCCAGTCAAGGATAAACATGTCCACAGAGACAAATTGTGAAAGACTAGTTTATGTAACCCTGTGACTTCTTGAACTTGTTTTCTTCTCCGGAGGATACTTGGAAATTTACTGGCCACACCAACTAAAGGCTAACTATGAGTTTAGGAAAGTAAAGAACTTAGCAACTAAATTTTAAACATTATCTTCTAACTAGAGATGTCCGATAATATTAGCCGTTGTTAGCTTAATTATGTAATATCTGTAAGGATGTTATCTGTTATCGGTTTTTCCTCTGATAACAAAAATCCGATAACACAATGTCTGGGTTTAACCCAAACGGCTGCATATATCGGTATCGGTGGCTATCGGAATCGTGAATTTAGTTTTTGACCAATATCGGCGTATCGGATATCGGCAAAAGGTTAATATCAGACATCCCTACTTCTAACACATTTGTGCCCTAAATTAGTTATAAACAGACACCGTTGCTATATTTTCACTAACATTAGCACCTCGATGCTAACGTCTGGGCTAACATCAGGTGAGTTCATGTGTTTTTCCAAGCACAGATTTTTCAGTTGAAGAATTGTTGATAAATCAATGACAGGACTTAAGACCAGAACTTAGGCCCACGTCCAGTCACACCGTTGACAAGGTGCAGGCGCCCCTGGTGTTGGTGGACATTCAAACACGACTTCAACACAGCCAGGCTATCGGAGCTGAGCTGTGCTAACAGAGTGAGACGAATCTGGACTCTATGACAGCGTCCTTTATCTTATTTATATAGATTCAATAACAAAATAAAGGGCTGCCATAAATGGCATGGAAAATATCAATGGTATTTGAATTAAAAACATTAATAAAAAGGGCAGTCAAACTCATGTTCACCAGGGGGGGGCACATCACCAGTACAATCCCCTTAAAGGACAGGTTGGACCTGTAAGACTGTAAAGCTGTTACTACTCCATAATTATTAATTAATACATGTTTCTGAAATTAATTATTATTAATTCAAATTACAAATATTGTATCTGGCTCTGTTTAATAAAAAAATTGCATTTATCAAGTTAAAAAAAATAGCAGCTCGAATTTTATTTTAGGCAATTAAACACTGTTTAAGCTCCCGCGGGCCACACAGTATGACTTGGTGGGCCACATTTGGCCCGTGAGCCTTGAATTTGACACATAAGGTAAAAAAAAAGTAGGTAAAAACAGAGTAATGCAAATCTGAAAAAATATTTAAAAAAATATTGTTTAAATCTTAAGGTTTATGTAAAAGGACATTTTCACTTTTTAAAAAAAAAGGCGTTCAGTTATTTTATTTCATTGTCTGGCTCAGGATCATAGATATTTAAAGTCAAGCAGTGACTTCTGCCACGCTGCCAAGCCAAATTTCTTAAAAGGTAAGAAGATCCTTTTTCACCATATGAAGTCATAGAAACACAGTCCAACTCTGCAAACACAGTTTCAACAAACTGCACAGGATCTCAGCGTGAGCCGACACCTGTTGATCAGTGACTTAAAAAAACAGCGCCATCTGCTGACTACACAAAATGACAGCAAATTCTAAGTAAGGTTATAAAATTATGCAAATATGAATAGAAGGCACATGAAAAGCACAGCCTCGTTTCTTACATAAAGAAGACAAAGATCTGAACGCAAGCTAGCAGGCGTACCACATGGCCGTGCTCAGGCCTGGTCATAAAGTGTGTGGGCTGTGCGCATCTGAGCGGCCCACGTCACACCTGTCCACTTAACGGGCCGCAAATACCACAGCTCTTTGTGAGAGGGTGACAGCACACTGACACATGGACCGGAAACTCAAAGACTCGACAAATCAGGAGCGCAAAAAGGCATGTGCAGCGGGGAGGTAGGTGTGAAAAAAGGAGGGAGACTTTAATTCTCCAGCCCTGCAGTGGGAGAAATTAGACCATATCTTGGCCACGTTACTGAGATGACACTCAGGGTGATTAAGTATGTGTGGAACGTGTGCAACATCCATAACTGTGACTGCACCCACACTCGCTCAACGCTGACGCAAGACAGACATTTCTTTAGAAACCAGACAACTTGGAAAAAAAAACAAAACAAAAACATTACGCCTGGATTCACTTCGACCCGGTGCTCTCGACCGGAGAGCGCCGCTAGAATCGCTTCCAAGCCTCTTAAATGAGCTGAATCACACCTTGGATGAGAAGCTAACGTGCTAACCTTTTTTAACGACAGAAATCTGAAAATTATGCAATGAAATCTATTAATGGACCCACCAAGTATCCAACCTTTAAAAAGGCGGCAAAGGAAAAAAACCCGTTCTTGCATATTTGTGTTTCATCACCTCTGGTGATGTTGGGGAAGTCTGGTACGGATTACTTGATACTGATGTTTGTGTGGTAGATATTACTTCACGCACAGATACTGGGGTTTTTAACCTTGTTTGTGACCAAGGACATTTTCCACGGACCACCTTAACAACAGAAATACAGGTGACTAAACTAAAAGCTATACCAATAAACGCAGGACTACTAACATCTCTACTCTTGCCAATGGACGCCATTGGAATAATATTGATCACATTTTAGTTTTTAATTGAAAATTACAAGTCTTTTGATGTGGACTTACTCAAAAAACATTTTCATGGTTTCTAGCTAGCTGGCTAATAGAGCTAGAGTCTGCGAGGGAACATACCACAGTTTTCATCAGCCCAGAGTAGACGTGGGTACAAGTACTGGGCACCAGAATATATAGATTTTTTTTTTTGGAACAAAGGATACTTATCTGCAGGTGTGCTCTTTACAATTTACAGCTTTATATCGCCGTCACAAACTCTTAAACGACCCCCCTCAATATAGTCTGTGGACCCCAAAGGCTCCAGGAACCCCTGGTTGAGAACTACAACACAAGATCCGTGTTGTAGTTCCAAATAAGACCTTTCCTAAAAATCAAATTAAGAATGTTCCATTTCTTTTTAGCACTTTTTTAAACGCCCTTTCTTTGAAGCTATTTCCAGCATCATACAAATGTATTTTAAATTATTTAAATTGTTTTTATTAATATAGATTTAGCTAACATTTAGCTAATCTGTTGCTATACCTTGACAGGTTTTGCAGGTCATGAGTAACGGACTAACTCTTTTTCCTGTCAACCTTTACCAAATTCTGTCACTATTTATGATCAAAATTTCCCAAAGTTTGACAAAACAATTGTGTTCTGTGTTCATCTCAAAATGTGGTCCTTATTTATACATTTCCTGGATTGACTGTCACAGATTACATGCCACTACTGCTGCCACTGGGCTGCTTTATTTAGGACTTTATTTAATACTTTATCTCATTTAACAGTAATGCACACACTTAGGCAACAAGGTTGACAAAATAATTATTCATCATTCAGTTTAATCAATTCCAACAGGAACTGTTAGGTGTATTTAACCATTACTGTTGCACAGCTGTCCCTGATATAAATAAACCTCAGTTCAATTGAATTATTGTGTTGATTGTGTGTAGACTTTGTGCTTTGGACTTTTTTTTTGTTGTCTTTCAAAAACATTGGCAAATCAATTATCATGATCATGTGTGACCAAAACAACCAACACACGACACAAGAATGTAAATAAACACGGACTAATGATCATGCTAGAGGCACTAAGACACGGCAGAATACTTTAAAAAAAACGGGGGTGGGGGGCGGGGGGTTTGCACTCAGACTGCGATCAGATCCCCCTCTTCTCACAAACAAGAGTTAAGTGGGACACAGCCAGGAGTCAGATTTCCTTGTATTCTCTTCTCCGTCTCCTTTTCCACTTCTTTCCTCTGCAGCTAGCCAGTGTGTCTGGCCTCCCTTTACCCTCCTCTCTCTCTCTCTCTATCTCTCTCTCTCTGCTCACTCACCGCTCTCCCCTCCCCACTCCACATTTTCCACCGTCCAGAAATCATTGTTTAAACTCTACTTGATAGCTCGCCTTTTCACCCTTCTCTCCCCTGTTTCTCTATCTCCCCCGCTCTCTGTTTTCCTTCCCCACGTCGAAACGTCCGACTTCTCTTCACATCATGTCCCAGAAGAAAACATTTAATATCGAAGCAAAAGGCAGCGAAACTGAGCCATCATCACAGAGGATTCTTACCTTCCAAGTAACAGCTGGAGGAGGATGAGAGGCCTTTCTTAGATTTACACCCCACCAATTTTAGGCATATCTCCAACATTTTCATTTGTTTTCTTTCCCTTCCCGCTTGAAAAAAACTGCTCTCCTCGTTCTTTTAAAACCAGGCTTCGCTTTAATCTTGTCCACTCCGCATGTGTGCAAGTGAAGAAAAACTCAATCGTAAAGACAAAAAAAAAAAGGTGAAAAATCGAAGGAGAAAAAAAAAAAAAAAAAAAAAGAGGTGAAAAATCGAAGGAGAAAAAAAATCTTCTTCTTCTGAGTCAAGATGATGAAACATAAAAAAAAGATTTTTCTCTGTTGTTCAAGCTTTTGGTAAAAATCCTCTTCTTTAGTTTTTTTACGCGCTCTATCGTCCGGCAAAGTCTATCAACTTTCTCTTCTGAGCGTCTCCATGTTTTTTCCCCCCTCTTTTGGCTTTTGGGTTGTTTTTTTTGTTTTTTTTTTGGATAGGTTAGCTCCGCATTTTTAACAAAAGCACAAAAACAGTCCAAAGTGTCCAAAGTCTGTCCAGAAAACAGCCAGGCCGATGGGAGCGTCAGTTCAGTGGGCGGCGGGGCAGTCTGACTGGTGCCATTCCTCGCTCCTGTCCACTGTTGGAGTGTGTATCTGAGGCACAGGGACTACTCGTGCTGCAGCTGCCAACAAAGGGCCTCTTTCAGGCTCAGCCTGCTGCACTCAATGACATCAGCTGAGCCGTCCCACCTCCAGCAGCAAACACACAATGAGAGGGAGAGACCGCTACCACACACACACACACACACTAAAAGTATGCAACCACCACGGCTACAGATAAGCTTCTAAACTGTTGTATAATAAAAAGCTCCATTAGTCGTTTTTTAAACTGAGATTAAAGTATGGATTAACTCCTTGAATCCTTGATTTTGGACCCTGCGTTAAACAGTCATGAGATGATCACAAGAAGCTCCACCTCCAACTTCTTTAACCCACCTTCCCCCTCTGACTGTCTTCCC